GAGATCCATCAACCTCCACCTACTCGCAATTGTGAACTAGAAGTGTGAAATGGGTCACCAATCTTCCCAAATTTTTACTTTTCTATTAATATATTAAATAAAGGGGTCTATTTATTTATTATTATAATAAATCAGTCCACGTTTTGAGAATGATTTTTACTCATTTTTAATCGAAAAATAAGCAGTCTTTTAGGGCAAACGAATACACTAACACACCTAATCTACTTTCCAAGATCCAAGACGTTTTGGTGGGTAGGTGCCCCTTTTGAGTAGTTATACACTTGATTCTCTTCAATAGGTGGATAGGTACATTTATGAATATTGGTTAGTATGAATTATTTATTTAAGAGTATTTTATCTCTCTTTGTACGTGAGGATTTTAAGTGGAGCAAGTCGAGAAGCGAATTTTCGTGCATGTAGGATCGTCGTAATGAGTGTAAAATGTAATTTCGGTAAAATAAATTAAATAAAATTGGTAAGTCGCTCTAAAGAGCGAGTTGAGTCTTACTTCAATTGAATGTAATGGCCAGCACTTGACTTGTTCCACAGGCGAGCGCGAGACAGCTCCTCGCTCATTTAACATTCCTACTTGTACGCGTCGTTTCTCTCAAATACAATGATACAGTGTTGATAAGTGCGTTTTCACATATTTATTTGACTGTCAAAACATGAGCAATTGTTGATTAAAATGTTGGAATATAACTTAATTCTATGCAATTCATGTTTAGCAGGATAAAGTGATGAATGTAGCGAAATAAAAGGAAACAAGTGAAAAATGACCAAAATGGAGGGAAGTGAAAGTTCAGGGACTAAAGTGCAAATACTATAAAATTATTTCCAACCTTGTGATGAAGATTCGAGAGTGTTAGATATTAATTAGATGAAGGAAGAAATCAAAGGGATGAAACATAGTCAAAACATTACCACATATTAACTTCAAGTTGAAAAGTTTTGCACTAGTTTTCAGCCTCATATTGAGACCAGTTTTTGACATGGTAAACGATCTAATTTGAAGATGGTATTTGAAAAAAAGTTGTAGCCCTTTGAGTTAACTTTCCAACTCATTTTGAATCAATTTAATCGGATATCTGTAGAGAAAGTTATGATCAAAATAACGAACGCTATTTAGAGACAAACCTGCTCGCACGCAAGCAAATTCTCTCGCGCGCGCACGGGCATGATTTTCACTTACCAAGCCTAACACCAATGAACGGAGCGCGCGTAAGGAAATATACCGTGCGCGCACAGGCATTTTTCACAGCCGAATTTTCAAGTTTCCTTCTACGACTCAAATATTTATGGTAACTTATTTTGGCACGATTTCTC